AAGTTCGGAATTTGGAAATGATCCAAATGAATTTTTTGAAATTGATAGAGAAATTTCTGATGCAATTAGTCAAGCTTCCAAACATGCTATTGAAACAGTTGATGATATTCTTGATCTATCAAATATTGAGAATATCGATGATCAAATCCAGACACAAATTATTTCAACTTTAAATAATACAAGAATACTTTATAATGAGCAACTTACTCATGGTATTATTATTATTTTTTTTTATACATTTATTGAAACTTTTAATAATACATTATTAAGTATTAACATAATCTTAAAAGATCCTACTATTAGATATATTTTTCAAACAGGAGAGCTAAATTATTCGGTTATGATTGCATTACGAAAGCATCATGAAGCATACAATTCAAGACCAATTGAAAGACAAAATCGTGCACATATAATTGGTTATGAAAAAGAAAATACTATTAATCCAAATAAGGCTAGTCATATAATTTCACATCTTACAAACAACGATGATCCTGAAATACGATTTGTAAAACAACGTGAAAAGCGATGGAAAGAAAATTGGAAAACAATGACAGCTAATCTTGCAAATTTACAACAATTTGAATTATCAAGACAAAAACAAATTGATAGAATTACAAACAAAAGTAAATATAATATCAAATATATAATTTATTTACATAATTTTAATATTAATAATTTGCTATTTATTTAGTCATTTATCTTGAATCAGCAAATATTACTCAAGATTTTCCATTACAGCAAGGTGACTATGTAATTGTACTATATGGGATGAAAATTTGTATTGCTAAAGTAATAGCAATGTATTATGAAGGTTATGGTAACCATTGTTATAGTCAAAATGCGGTAACTCAGATTGAAGATTTATCATATATTTCGTTACAAGTATATTTACCTATTCATCTCAATATTTTTGCAAGCCAAACTGTGGAAGGTTATACGTTATTTACTCATCATTGTCCTCAAAATATTATATATCATATTAAATCAAATGGTGTAATAATTGGTGATAGTTCATTAACTTTAACAGGAGTAGCACGTGATACTTTTAATTATTTTAACCGTAATACTATTAAAAATAGTATTATTAATATGATGTAATAATATCAATTTAGTTAATAAAGTAATCAATAAATAAAAGATAAAATTTTATAAAGTCACAAAATAAATTGCTTAGTAGTATAAAAAATCTTAATGTTATAATAAGAGTTTGCTTAGCAGGATTGAAAATAGTTTGCTTATTGATCTTAATAAATTTTGAAATTTTCATCTGACATATATATATATTGTTCGGGGTCCTATACTAATATTAAAGCATTATGTTTCACATATGAACATATAAAATATTTAATTGACGCTGTAATCGTAGATATTAGGATAATCATGTAATTAGGATAAATATTTAGCTGAAGGATAGATAATTAACCAAAAATAATTAATTGACTGAAGGAAGAATAATAAGAAGAATGGAATAATTCATATGATATAATATTTATTACACAATATTTACCTATAATTATATTTATTTATAGTTTAATTATTTATATTTATTTATATTTAGAATAATTATATTTATAATAGTTATTATTAGTTTAGTTATTTAAAAATAAGAATAACAGATAGAAAGAAAGATGATGAAACATAAATTGTTATAAATACAAGTGGAATTCAATCATAGGGATTCTACAGCTTTCAGGTTCAAAGTTCAAGTTCAGTTTTTGAACTCAAATAAAAATATTAATTATTAAAAGTTATTTTGAATATGCTCATAGTTTGCTTAAGATTTAATTAATATTTAAGTTAAAAAAAATGAAATAATAAATATAGGGAAGTTTTTCAAATTTAAAAATAATGTTAAATATAATAAAATATGAGAGAACTATTGAAGTTTGAAAGTTAAATTAAAGTGATAATAAAATCTAAACCAAGTATAATAAAATATTGAATTAATGAAATACGTGTCTATCAGTATATAGCAAATGTCGGTGATAACATATCATACTAAGCCACTCTTGTATTACTTTTATTATTATTTTATTTTTGTAATATTTTAATGGGAGATTACTAGCAGTTCAACTTCAAATATAATGGAAATATAATAGCAGTTCCTCACTGAAAACTGTAACTTTATACTAAATATTATTATTTTTTTTCATTTAATTAAAGTATTTAACTGAAAATACTTATTAAATAATAATAAAATACTTGCCAATATTTTAGATTGTAAAGTTTAACATTATTTTAAAAGGTAAATTAAGTTTATTATTATATTGGTTATACTGTATAATATTAGCAAGTAATAATTACTGATTTTTAATTTTATTCACTTTATTATAGACCTTGTTGGATAAACAAGATATTTTTATATAAAGCTAGAGATAAATATTTATATCTATAGATAAATGAGATAGGTACTTGAGTTAGGACAATTTTTGGATTATAATTAGAAAAAGATTTGTTTCTTTTAAAAATTAAAAAATCATTTAAATTACAAATTAACAGAATACTAAGATTTCATTTTTTTTTTTTAAAAAAAAAAAAACATCATAATTAGGCCAAGTAAATAAAATTATTCATTTCTCATGATCAGGTGGATCATGTAAATGTTACAAAAAGATAAAAAAATTTATTTTATTTAGTTATGTGATTTTAGTTTTGACCAATCATAATCATAAAAAAATATTTTTTTTTCCACCCAGTGACCTGGGCAAAAAATTTATTAAATCAACCAATCATCTTCTAGGAATCAGCTAAATTTTTTTTCTGCAATTTTTTTTCATGAGAAACAAATAATTTTATTTCTTTGGCCTTATATAAACTTTAATAAAAAATTATTCAAATTAAATTACAGATAATTGAAATATTATAAAGTAGTAATTATTGTTTTTAAATGGTTGGTGAAATTTCTAATTATTGTAAGGTTGTAAAAGGCATAATGTTAAAATTTTTCTTTTAAATGTGAAAAATATTTTTTTTATTCAGTAAATTATTATAAATTTTCATTGGCTGATCATTGTTGATCAACATGTGACGTAAGTGAATACATTATTTCTATTTTTATTTATAATTTAATCAGTTTTAACTAAATCGAAAATAGTGATAATAAATTATTGTTTTTCAATTCAATTTGTTTTTTGATAATACATGTGTTATGACAATTTCTCTTTATAAATAAAATAAAGTAAAAATGAATATTATTATTATTATTATTATTATTATTAGGGAAAAGACATATATTAGTTAATATTTTAGGGAGTAAAAGAAAATCTTAGGTTACACATAATATAAACCATATGAAATGGTTGTAATTGGTTATAAAATCTTACCTGGGAGTGGGGGAGTAAACGTTACTATTAAAATAATATTAGCTAATATACTGTATGTCACTGCCCTTATTATTATTATTATTATTATGATTTTTTTTTTAACTCGTATTAATTAAATTTCGGGATTTCGAGTTTCGGGATTTTGTCTTTCGGGCTTATGAAGTGTCGGGATTATAAAATTCGGAATTATGGCAATTCGGATTTAGAGTGTCGGGATTTTGTACCTTCGGGATTTCGAGTTTCGGGATTTTGGACGGATCCCATTTCTTTTACTACTAATAATAAAACTTTATTCCGCACACCTGAGTGGCAATGATTAAACAAATCATGCCGGGTGGTCCCTGGTAAATTCGTATCATGAATGCCGATCATTTTTGCTGACTAAAAAGCCTATAAAGATTATGTAAACAGTAATGTGAGTAAAATTTAATGTTAAATGATGTTTCGTTAACTGAATGTAAATTGCTGATATTATTACCATATAATTATCGTTGCTATAGGAAAATTATTTTACCGAAGACAAGACAAATATTTGTGTATTTTGTGTATTATTATTATTACCGTACCCTAGGATTAAATAGGATTATCCTATCTGACCAAAGTATCTGAATATCCTAACCGTCCGTAGTTAATATTTTTCCGTTGCGACTGCTAGTTTGTAATAAAAAAATTGATTTTAAGATTATCATTTTATCTGCGTTACCATTGTATAACATTATCGTTCAAAGTTTGAGTCGATGCGTAATTGGTTCATTTAGTTACACATAAATAACAAGCTTCGGATTAATAAGCGATTACGTGACCAACTAAAGGTTACACAGATACATGGATCGATATGACGTGAATTTTATTGCCGTCGCGCTTCTAGCTCTTAAAATATTTAATCAGCAATTAGAAAACCATATACAACAAAATGAGAAACATTATTTTTAAACGTTTTAAATAAATATATTAACAACTCTTTTTATTAAAAGTCTTAAAAAAAATGAGAGTAAATTTTGACTTGTTATTACTAAAACTAGTAAAAAAAAAGTGCAACCTTAACTCTTTACTTCTGTGTATGTGTGGATTGTGTGCTGAGAAAAATACGAAATTTAATATGGATTGTTTTGTATAACTAATTTTATGTGACTTCAGTTCTGTCTTATGACCATAAACTTGTGAACTTCGGAGTTAACCGTTGTTTTGTGATATTTACTACTGATGAAGTTGATCACTCCTTAAAAAAAATTAATTTTTTAATTTGTAATACAAAAAAGGTCTCGTTAGCGTGTATATATTCTGGTAGTTTTCTATGACAATTTTATATAAACTTCATAATATGTATAGAACGCAGTGTGTACGTGTACACATTTAATAATTTAACTATTAAATCTCTTTGATTTTAAAAATAAAAATACAAAATATATAAATTATTTAATTAAAAATTAAATTAATTTACAAACATATGTATAGAACGCGGTGTAAGTGTACAACATTTAATAAAAATACATAAATTATTTAATTAAGTTAATTTACAAACTATAGAATATACATAAAATCGGGATGCAGGTCACCCAAATTTTTAATTTCTTCTTCACTTTTTCCTTGCAAAAATGATTGTGGATCTTTCCTCTTTTTCTCATTTAAAGTTTTATAAATAAAATATTGTAAGACTGCAATACAAGTCGCAGCAACCAAACACCCCAAGGCTATTGAATTACCAAATATATAATTTGGGAAATCTTTTTCTCGATAAATTTGTGATGCTATTACACCACCTATATTTGCACTCATCAATATCAATCCTGCCGCTATACCCCTTTTCGCGTGACCTGCTATGTTATTCGCCATCCTATTAAAATGAACGAAGACATGGGGTTATGTTAGAAAGGATCAAGAGAAAAAAAGGAAAGAAAAAACGTAAAATTATAGAATTTACCATGCGACTGCAGTCGTGACAGCAGGAACTAAACCCGTTCCAACAATACAAGCTCCGACATATTTTGCTAAATAATAATTTAATTTTCAATTTATGTACAAATAAAAAAAAACTATGTTGCAATTCCCAAAAAATTTGCTCACCAGGGCCGCTTAATGAAGGTATGAGTAACATTATATAACCAATAATTCCAATAATCGAAGTCAAAAACATAATTGGACCACGAGTACGTTTACGATCCGAAATAATTGCAACAATTATTGTCGATACACCAGCGCAAAAGAATGGTGGTATTGAAAATAATTGTGATACGACTGTGGAGCATGATTTTTTTTTTTTTTAAAAAAAAAAAAAAAAAATATTTGAATGAATAAAGAGAATTCTTTCGTTCAAATAAAATATATGTATATTTTTTTAATTACCGAAATTATATCCCATTCCGTGTACTATTGATGGAAGAAATAATTGGTAAGAAGAAACTGATATCGAAGCTACAAAAAGTTGTATCATAGCCAAATAAACTTTCTAAAAATAAATAATAATAATAATTAATTAATTAAAAAGAGAATGTCACTTACAAATATTATTTTAATATTATTTAAGGAATGAAAGAATGAAACTTTACATAATCTGTGAATGCGGCATAAATGTGCGCTCTATTATAATGTATTATATGAGCTTTTCCTATATCATGTTTTAATCGATCAGTAGCATATTTACGCTCTTTATCAGTAAGCCATCTGGATTTTTCAGGATAATCAGAAATAAAGAAATAAGAAGCTATAGCGACAACAACCGTTATTAATCCTTCAACTAAAAATAACTGTTAAAAGATCTTATCAGTAAAATATCGCGATAAAAATAAACAATTCTGACAATATATGATAAATACGTACCCACTGCCATCCTTTTAGGTTAAGTTTTCCTTCTAATTTTATAAGAGAAAATGCTAATAAACCGCTAAAGGAACCAGCAAAACTATTTCCAATAGATAAATAAGCTATACGGGAATTTATTTCTGATCGTTTGTACCACGTGGCTAAAAAATAAACTGCGCCTGGAGCTAAGCCCGCCTCACAGGCTCCCACAAAAAATCTTGCCGCTAATAATCCCGCAAAATTTTTTACCTAAAATAAAATTTATAATTTAGATTTTAAATTTAACATATAATTTATTTTCTTGCGTTTGAAACTTACAAATGCTATGAGAGTTACTACAACTCCCCACGAAAACATTATAAGAGCAACTAAAATACGAAAATGAGATTAAGAATTTTTTTTTAAAGATAATTTTAGATAATTTAATGAAATAATAAAATATTTATTACTCCACAAAAATGCACTTGTCTTGATAAGTGCTATATTCGAAGGAACTTCAAATAAAATATATCCTCTACAGAAAAGAATTTATATTATTATTTTTTTTATTAGTCAATTTTACATTATGTGACATTATTTTTTAATTTTGCACCAAGAATACCGTGGTTTACTTACATAAAGAAAATACTTAGACACCAATTAAATTCAGATCCGACCAATCCAAGATCCTTTTCCATAGTTGTCAATTTCGCATTTCCAATGTTTACTCTGATAAAAATTTAAAAATTAGCAGGGGTAACGTTGATGATTTTTACATGGATGATTTGTAATTGTTAATTGTTTCATTTTACCTGTCCAAGAAAGCTAAGAAATATAACAAAATTAATAAAGGCATAATTCTAAAGTCCATCTTTCGTACTAATTTCTCTTCAAATTCTTTATCTTCAACAAATCTTTCATCACTAGTAACAAGGGTTCCATCTTTTGACTCAGACATCGTTGTTGTTTACAAAGTCCGTATGGTTTTTTCTTGTTTTTCATGGTTTATTTATAATGGTTTTTTATTTTTAGCTGACCAAAAATTTAAAAGAAATCACTGCCAATTTTAGTATTTAATTTTACGCATTACATCTGAGATTACCAGATCTGATTTTGATAAAGGTTTTGAGAATTTATTTTTTAAGGGGTGAGATTTTTGATTTTGTGTTTGGTTACATATATTAAAAAAGGTTCAGGGCCCCCATGTTTCTTTTTTGTTGTATAACAATTTAATAAAATCTCATCACACATGTGAACAATATAAATTTAAAATAAAACAATACTAAATTTAGCAAAAAATTCTTTTTTATATCCAGATGTGATAAAAGAAATCCTTTAATTATTTTGTCAATTTACTTTTAATAATTTGTGCGACTAGCAATTATGATACTAGAAGATCGACTGTTGTTATGAACGAATACTTTTTTATTTACTACATTGAAATCTATATTTGTAAAATAAAAAATAATAAGATGAGCATCTTCAAGGAAGAATAATAGAATTTAAAGGTAAATCAATTTGGACTAAGAAATCAATCCCCCCAAAAATATTTCGAATTTTTTTCTTGCAACATTTAGCAGAAAAACATTTATTAATATGTATATTACTGGTCAAATGAAAAAATATCGGTATGGTATATTAAGTATTGATTTGCCTGATAGTCAATATTGATATTTCTATTGTCATATGATTTTCATATCACTGGTCGAGGTGGTATGATTTGGATGATTTGCGTAAAGTTTATCCCCCATAAATAGTTGATACATTTGGTGATCTCAATTGCAATTTACGGATTTATTTTAAATTTATATATATACAGTAATGCATATCATACTGCATGTTGAAATATTTAAAATATTTACTTATTACTATATGACGAAATTTAAAATTTATATTGCCTACGTCCTGATAAAATTTATATTTCATTCTCAATAATCTCTGCTTGATGGAAAATAGCACTTTATTAATTTAAAATGTTTGTTGATAATGCTAATATCTTGCTGCTATGTTAAAGTTGCTGGATTAGCTTTATAAAGTAGCTGTTAATGATAATGAATTTAAACTTTTAGGTATTTTTAGAAAAGTATTTTTTACTTTAGGAAATATAATTATTAGAATAAGTTTGTCACACTTAATCCTAAAATTTGATTGTGAGCGGACATACGCGACATGACCAATTGATTTTATAGTGTACAAAATGTCTATTAAGCTTAATTTGGAATAATTGGAATAATTATACTTGGGATTACTAATTGATTATAAACGCGAACGCAACACAAGCTTTTTTTCAATTGCTGACGCTCTCATTCTTTCATTCTTTCTAAATTTACAAAAAATGCAACAAAAAAACTTTGTTAAGTATATTTTTTGGTATTAATCTTTGGAAAATGTAATTTTTTACCATGGCGATTTATCACATATTTAAATTAAATAAAATGGGTAAAAAAAGAGTGGTTTTTTATGTAAAAGAACATTAGAACATTAGAAATGCGTCTAACATTCTTATTAGGGAAAATAAAGAAAAAATCTTCATGTTTTTATGTAAAATGTTAGTTTTATTTTTTAGGGATTAAGATGAAACCTTTAGAGGTGGATTTTTTACGTAAAAGAATATATTAACTCTTTTTTTTTCTTAATTTTATATTGAAATCACTGGTTTATATTGTAGATCCTATTTTATTTTCAAGTACCACCAAACGAATGACAGTTTAACAATACAAATGATTGTGATGATAATGATAAATCATCAATTAAACAGTAAAGGAATCAAAAGAGATGGTATTGATGGGTGCTAATTTGCAAATTCGTCTAGAAGGAATTCAGACATAAATGCTAGGCGTGACGCTACCATAGTGGCTGGATTTCAGTTTAATTATATACTTGCAAATATGAGCAGAATTTCATTAATATTTCTTTATAAAAAATGTCATAAATTTAAATGATATAAAGATGATTTTATCGCAATTTAAATTATATTTATATAATGGAATTTGTAGGGTTATCTCCTGCAAATCTTTTAAAAGCCAAAAAATGTGGATTGAAGTTTTCTTTTGGTGAATTACTAGAAAGACTTGATGAGTTGGAGAATCACTCCAGAATAGGGATTGGAATTCTTTGTAGATTCGATTTTTTGTTCCTTAAAAGATAATCCATTTTAAGCTTTTAATAATTAATTCCATGATCAGTAAATATATAAATTCTGAATTAAAATTGTAAAATCTATTAAGAAATCATATATCGTTACTAAATACCCAACTGTAAATTACTATAACATCGTTGAAGGCCATTATCGGTCAATTTTTCTTTTTTGAAAATATTTTAAATCATGATTTAATCTTTGGATGCAAATGTTGAATTAATTTTTTTATTTAATTTCAATATTCTCTTCAACAAATGAGATTCGATTTTGATTCAATTATCGATTCCAATCCCTACTCCGGAGTGATGATCTGAGTCACACCACATATCCTGCACGACAAAAATGTAGATTAGGCACTGACCGGTGTTAGCTGGATTTTTGACAAACAATTCATGTAATTGTTGAGGAGGTCCCTCTTCAGTAATTTTTACTCCCTATCAATGAATTTCCGTTTTAACACTTGAAATATCTTCTAAGGGACCGTGAAATTTCTCAACCTTTTGGAGGTATGCTCTTGCATTTTATCAGCTTAATCAGTTATCGATATGATCGTCAACTGTTAACCAATAAAATCTCTCATGCAAGTTGTAGATTCATTTAAACAGTAAACGATACGATTTTTATTTTAACATAATTACACATCTCTATGATTCCAACCAATTTATTGAAACCCCACTATAATATTCGGATAAAACGATCCCAGCAAGAATTTCGGTATTATTACCAGTGTCTAACATCCGAATATCTCTATTTGCATTGATGTAATTATAGGTCATATTAATTACTTCTGACGCGCCATCACTTAAAATAAACATTATGGCCCTTTCAATGAAACTAGCGTTACCGAACAAATCGCAATTGCGAATACTAAAAGTGATTTTTGCACGAAGATGAACAACCTTCAAGACATCAGGAGTATTTGTTTTAAAAAGACCGAGAAAAATGCAGAGCATTTCCTTGCCTCTTTGGACAGGAAAAACCCTGAACTCCTTATGTGTCGGATCAAGACCATCATCAATGCAGGCATACTTCCAACCTTCAATTAATTGTGATAATTCAGGATAGGATATCTGCCAACTCTCAACTATTCTGTGTTGATTTTCTGCTTTGATCGTAAAGATATTTTGCATGTGTTCCTTATCACATGCAATTCGCCCATCTGCTAAAGCTTTTCTTAATATTTCTCTCCGATTATTTGTATCGACAATATCAACCCTAAAAGTTGAAATATTCGATTCCATCATAATAATAATTACAGTAATTACAGTAATAAAAAATCTGGTGGGTAAATGTTATATGGGCATAAGCCGCAAATTGTGTGACAAAATAAATGATCACACGGCAGGTCTGTGCGACATATTTGATTTTCGCATATATCGAAAGAAAAATATACAAACTAGTAACCTGTTTTTTCCCGAACGTGAGAAAAGAGGTCTACACACAACACAGGGCCTACCACATAAGTAAATAGTGACGACAAAAGCATATGTTATGAAGGGCTGAGGACTTCGTAATTTCGAGATCGCCAGGCGTTAGTCCAACTTTGAGTCTTTCAGGTAGATCTGATCCCTCCATGTGAAGAGGTATGAAGGTCTCATTTACATGTGCTTTCATAGAACTCTTGGCATCATATGACAAAGCTAATTACGCCTCATATCTCCTTATCTTTTTCCCAGCAAGATATAAAGCATGTAATGGTATGTGGAAGTTCAGCCAACTTTCCTGCAACCCGTAAAAAACAAGGTATGTATATGCTAGAAGTTATGTATGCGGGAGCGAGTTTTTCTCACTATTACCTTTGTATTTAGGAAAACAAGACAATGGACACTGATTATTTAGAACTTCATTAAAGATGGTAACAATAAATTTGTAATCGGTACTTTTCAGACTTGTAGTGTCCATGGACTCAAAAATGCAATTGCAAAAGAAATTGATACCCCTCAATTTGATCTCTAAAAATAGCGTACACCCAAAAATTTTATGGATAGAAAGGACGCAATTCTTTATTATTTTGATATTGAAAAAGATAATAATCTTGCATTTCACACCCCAAAACTCCCTCTACCAAGTAGGTAGAAATTTTTTTTCTGTATTTTCTATTCACATCATATAAGCGATCCATTCGCTTCCGGCGACGTTTATTTCAATCATTATTTTATCGAATGTACATAGAGGGCGGGTCACGTGTAATGATACAATGTCTGTGCGACATAAAAACTTTCACAAGATATTTATTTCACTTTTTTTATCCGAGCCAAATATCACTATAAAAAACGCTATATCTGGAACACTTCAGCTTCCAACCTCTACCTGGAAATGAGAACCAATTGTACGATTGAATCTTTTAAACATACCATTCGGTCACGCTAACGGACGATATTAAAAAATATGACACGGCCAAGCTTATAGAATTTTTGCGGTGACAGGACTTAACGAGCCGACTATCAATATCTTAGAAAATGAAGAGGTTAATGGACTTCTTTGACTTGACCCAGGAAGAGCTTGAACGTCATGGAATGAATTGGGGCCAGCTAAGAGACTCGGGAAGTTCGCTAAGGAGTGCAAGGAGAAAAATTCGAGGTCGTTCTCTTCGTACAAGACTAAAAAGACTTGAAGGATGTGTTAGCGAAGTATGGAGTCCAAGATGGACGAAATAACAGACATACCGCAATTCACATCAAGTATATTTTTATCGCTTATTTTTAATCCGCTGAACCTTTAGAACTGTATAACTAACATATTGTATTTCGTTGATTTATAAAGAACCCACAACATCAACATCGATGATAAGAACGAAGCTTTGTTCACTGTCTTAAGGATGTACGACTCAGGCTACGCAATATGGGACCCGCGTTGAAAGTTACGAAATAGTTCGTTGTGAATATATTTCGGCAATCCTCCATGCATGTATTAATATAGTTAGAGAACTTATTGGAAAAAAAAATATCACTAAACCCGCAGTTTGAAGTTGTTAGCGAGGAAAATACGGGTCGTGTGGATAACGCAATCCAAGCGCTTGAGGAATTAATGAGGGAAACCCATATCAAATTGCTATTGGGTTCGCTCAGGTTAGTAAGCCTATCCAGAGTTTCTTAAGGCCTGTTCCACTAACTGATTTGGTACCTCTGTCGTCTACAGAATGTTATACAATGCGAAAGTGCTTCTCAAACTAATAAAAGAAATTGAAAGGCAGATGATGCTTTTGGGACTATTTCTTCGGGATCGTGACTACAGCTACAGAATGACATTTTCTCCTTTATACCCAGACGGGATTTCTTGCACGAGTAGAATTCCACTCGTTTTGTCGAGAAGAAGGTTCGGAGGATAAAAAGGAGTTGTGTAAAAATGTGAAGCGGGTGATGAAGGGAAAGGGTGGATGTTGAGAAGAAGCCGGCAATGAAAATCAACGTGTTCAGGGATTTTTTGAAAAACAGGAGTAATCATGTACATTAACATAGTCGTCATGTATCACGGGCAGAGTCTCGACCTTTGTATTTATTTTTCGCGTGTATTAATAAAAATTTTTTTCCTGGCAAAGTTGCTGACCATTGGTCAGGGATGTCACGTGAATTTTTCAATTTTGAAATACTAACATACAGAGCACAAATAGTATTATATTTAACAGGCATGTAATCCGAAATAAATTTATTGAGGCAACACTTCACCGAGCCTGAGGCTAAGTTCGTTAAGATTAAGGCGGAAAAAGTTGAGCTTGAGACTAGGAATGCAGAGATTCCTGAACTTAGAAAGAAGGCTGCTGAGATCGAGGCTGAGAACGCGAAATTGAGACATATTATTGAGGAGAATGCTAGGCGTGATGCTTAGAATGCCGAGTACAAGGCCAGAATCGAGGAATTGGAGAAAAATAGGGCTGACACTTCAGCCGAGAATGCTGGACTTAAGGCTAGAGTTGCAAAATTGGAACAAGAGTCCAGGCAGTCACAGAATGATTTCTCTCCCAAGGAACTTGTCAACATAACAGAGTCTGTAGCAGTCTATTCACCTGTTTGTGAAACAAATGATGTGGTATCAGAAGTGCGGTTATCTATAGATAACCCGGTACCTGCCAGCTCTAAGTCATCAGAGAATAGAAAGACGGATGCTTTCATGGATGAGGTGAACAAGAAAAATGTTAGTGATGTATAAGGCAGAGGAATAGGGAGAAAAGTTGCACTAGAAGCTGTGATTCCCATAACCTCTGATCAGACTGGGTTGCAAGATGCTGAACCTTTGTCTCCCTCCAGCTCTCTAGAAAACAAGTATATTTCATCACATAGTTCATTTCAGAAAACTCTCCTCTACCTATTATCCGAAAAATACATATAATTCGGAAAGTTATTTTATTTATTCAAAAAGAAGCATTTGCCTCATCAATTAACACTTCCAAGTTCAATATTACACTGGTATACTTATAGAGAATCATGAAAATAAGGTTGCAGACATTTGCTCTAAAACTGGTGTAGTTGAAAAAACTGCAAAGACTCAAGTTTACACCATGATTAAAACTTTTTACCCAAGGTTTCAGAATCAAATCTGTATAAGAAGACCTAAAGAGCTGGAAGTGTTTATAAGCTATTTGGAAAAATTATTAATCCTGCAACCAAAAAGGAAGTTATGGAAATCGTATTGATAAAGTTTATGGAATTATGTATAGAGTGAGAAGTATATCGGAACTTTTAATCAAGTAGCAAAAAATTCTGAAACTAGTGAAAAAATCTTATCTGAAGAAAATTTACCATCTACATCTCAAATTACTCCAGGATAATAATCTCTCAGATTTCAAGAATGAAGATTTCTGTGATGGTGAAGTGCCAATTGCAAAGAAATCTTCTCAGCTGGAAGAATGACAAAATGAAGCTAAAGTAAATATAATGGCAAATAATAATCTGAATATCAATCTAATTTGAGCTGTAACAGTACTTAGTACTTCCCAGTATAATTAATTAATTTAATTATGCCATTATACCTGACATAATATACTGTAATAATTATATAATGATTATAGATGCTAATATCATATACTGTATGCCGTAATTAAATTAACCAATAAAGTTAAATTGAGTTTTACAGGTGTTTGTAAATAATTATCAGTAAATTGATCAGTTAATTATCATATAACTTAATATAAGTGTATTCTTTATTTCTTTATTTTGAAAAATGCCAAATTTAAAACATTTGCTGATGTATATTACCAGGCAAATAATGTTAAAAAAATAAAGTTTTAAATGTGCAATGTCAAATCAGGTGACCAAATTTCACCCAATTGGTCCCTATTTTTTTAATTTTTATAAATTGGGAAACCTAATTGCTGCCAAAAAATAGCATAAAAGAAGAATACTTGGATTCCAATCAGGATATTTAAATAGAGTACAATTGGATATTAATAATTACCAATCAATATCATTTACTATTATTAATAACTTTTTGATTAAATATTAGTATACTGATTAATAACTTTTCAATTAATTTATAATAATAAGAAATCTTTCAATTGGCATACATTTTATTTATTTAAAATTATTTGATATTTTACAATAATTTCATTTAATAATTTAAGTTTATTAATTATTATAAATACAAAATCAGAAATACTACTAATATTATTAATCTAAGATTCAATATTTAGATTGAAGCCAATTTCTAATAAAAGAAATAAATAAATATTAAAAAACATTTTTTTAAAAAAAAGTTTCAAAAGTTAACTTTCAAAACTTATTTATAGGATTCTGGTTATAAAAGAAATAAAAAATATTAAAAAATGTTTTTTTAAAAAAAGTTCAAAATAAAACTTTTGCACTAGTTGAAATTAAAACTTTTAGTTATATAACAAATTGGCAAAATTTAGCAGATCTGTTATATATTTCAGCTAGTTATTAAAAATTGTCTAAATTTTAACATATATGATTTATAGTTAATTTATAAAAATCAGTAGAATATTAGCAAACTACAGCTACAGTAAATTTAATTCAGCTTATCAATTAGTTAATCTATTACTAAATTTAGACTTTATCAATAATATCTTAAACTAAAATTTTGAAACTTTATTTTTTTTTCTTTTAAGAATAAATTTTAAAACTAATTTTCAAGACAAATTTTTTTAAAAAAAATTTAAACTTTATAATTATAAAACATTTTTTTTGGAAAATCAGTTCCAATTAAAGTTGCTTGCCAAAAATAAAAAGGCCATTGCCAAAATGGTAAAAATAATTTCGACATTTTGATATGACAAAATGATGAAATTATTCTATTATTAAAATTGATCAAAATGCAAATGATGAAATAGAAAAATAATTTTGACATGACGAAATTCACTAATTTTGATAAACAACTTAGTTCCAATATAGGTACTAATATTTTAGATAGTTTTAAAACTTTCTTTAAAAATATTTTTTTTATATTTTTATATAGAAAATTAGTTCTAATATGTGAATACTAATATTTTAAATAAATTTCAAGAAAAAATTTGAAACTTTATAAAAAATGTTTTCTAACATTTTTTATATTTTTTTGTAGAAAATCATTTTAATATAAATACTGATATTTCAGTTAAATTTTAAAATATTCAAAACTTTTTTTAACTGAAAAAAATATTTTTAATATTAAAAAAATATTTTTTTATATTTTTATATAAGAAATTAGTTTCAGTATGAATATCAATATTCCAGATAAATTTTAAAAAAAAAATTTGAAAACTTTATAAAAAAATGGTTTCTAAACATTTAACATTTTTTTATAGAAAATCAGTTTCAATATGAATGCTAATATTTTAAAAAAAAATTTAAAACTTTATAAAAAACAGTTTAACATTTTTTTATATTATTATATAGAAAATTGGCTTTAATGTAAATACTAATATTTTAGTTAAGTTTTGAAATATTCAAAATTTTCTTTAAGGGGTATGTCAGAAATTACGTGATTTAGTAGGTGGGTGGAAATCAGGTCCTGCAATTAGATGTTACAATATATTTTTATAGTAATAGTATACCTTTTATAGTAAATAATATATAATTTATTTATTAAGAAGCTTTTTTTGCAATTATCTTACTATTTAAAAGTCTAATTTTAATGAATTTTTTTTTGTTTTATAAAGTATAAAGAGGGCTACAAAATAAAAAAGTTTATGCAAATTGAATTATTAGATAGTAAAATAATTGTATTATAATATATATGTAATATAGTAATTTATTTACTAAAAAGTTTTTTTGCAATTAATTTATTTAGCTATAGTAAAAATGATTTAATAAACTGGATTACATGAATAAAATTTAAGTAATATGATGTGGTAAATTTTAATTTTAGCTAAAATTATAAAAATTTTAATTTCAGCTAAAGTTATATATTAATAATATTATTTATATCTCCAATTAAAAATATTTTATGAACTCTATAACTTAAAACTAAGATGGAAATAGTATATATTAGACTATTAATTTTATTAGTATAAAAATTTTTTGAAAATTTGATACAATAGATTTTCAGTTTTTATAATATATTAAATATTCTAATAAACCAGCTATTTTTAGTGAACTGATAGATAATTTATTGAATTTTACTATATATATTTTAGGATTCTAATTTTCCTAAAAAAATAAAAATGTAAGGGAAGTTACATATAATTACATAATATTCAGTTTAATATAAACTTACTTTCCTCCCCCTCCTTGTCAGATTTAATAACCAATCAAATTATAATATTTATAAATTATATATTTTATTAAGTGTAATATAAGATTTTGGTTATCCTTCTCCCTCTTTAATAATTACGTAATATCTGTAAGCTCCCAATATTTAAAGTGTCAAAATAATATTTTTTTAAATTTTTAAAATTTCAAATTTAGAGTTCTGATATCAAATTAGAACTAATTTCAGTACAAAAAATTGAAGTAATATAATATGATAATGAAATTTTAAAACCTATCTTAAGATTTTAGTATTTAAGTTAAGACTGATTTTCCTAAAAAAAATAAAAAAATGTTAAAATAAATATTTTTTATTAAAGTTTCAAAAATTTAAAACTTACTACTTGGGATTTAGGTATCTAATTTTAAAACTGATTCTTTATAAAAAAAATAAAAAAAATATTAAAAAAAAATGTTTTTTTTTAAAATTTTAAAGTTTTGTAATAACAATAACTTTAAAACTTTAGAATCTGATATTTAATTTTAGAACTGATTCCTTATACAGGTCAAAAAGTGAAAAATCAGGCATCAATCAGTGAGATCCCCCAATTCCCCCTGTCATCAATTTACAGAGTTGCTACATCGAACGGGCATTCTCATGATCGAACAAACGAATAATCGAACGAACGAACAAATCAACGAACAAGCAAATAATCAACAGCATAATTAGCAAACAACATAATCAACGAACAACATGCAACAACATATAACAACATTCTTGATTCACAACATAAATAGCGTTAGTAATATAAAACATCGAACGATATAAAATAAAATTTAACTTCTCTAGATTTTCCCAAAATTATATCCACTTTTACCTTTAATTTCAAACTTCAATAGCTCTCGCTACGAATTATTACTTTCCAAAAATGTATATTTAATTCATCTTAAAATTTTCATTTTATTCAATTAAAATTAATTAAGCAAACATTAATTAAAGTTTAGGGCGAACCTATTACCTTTAATTAAAATTAAACTTTACTAACAAATAATTAAATGAAACTTATATTTTTATTGAGTTCTGTGGATGAGAACTGTGGAATTACTTTGAATTCCGCTCTCTATTTATACAAATCTTATGTTACTTTCTATTCTATCTATGTACTATCTTTTATGTTCTTTTTACATATTATCTTTGAACTATCTTTCTAATATGCTATCTATATTTTAAATACGCTATCTTTCAATATGCTATCTTTTTAAATATGTTCTTTTTAATATGTTATCTTTTATGTTCCATCTTTATGCTATCTTTTTATATTATTATTTATGGAAGTAAAATTTAAGATATATTGTAAATTTTGTGATGCATTTTGTGTAAATCATAAATATAAGAATAAAAATGAATATTTAGAAATTAGTGAAATTAAAGAAATATTAAATTTGAGTTTTTCAAGAAAGAAAGATAAATGTCCGCAAGAAATAATAAAACATGAGAATGAATGTATGTACTTTCGTTATGCGTGTTCCTTTAGTCCGCTATCCCTCCATTTTATATGATCTACCTTTTGTGACTTATAATTATTCTTTCTAATTGTTCTTATTGCTAAAGATTGCTAAGCCGCAATTGATTGACTCTAATTATTCTATTGGTTCTTTGTTAATCATCCAATAAATATTACATCATGTAGATCATTGCTCTTCTTAAATGTTTATCCTTTTCGGCTAATTATTTATCCATCTACGCCAATTCATAATTAATTTGTTCATTCTTAATATTTGGCAATTACATTTGGTGATTGAATTTTATCATCTTCTCGTGCTTGATATTCGACTGTTTACAGCAGTCACCAATCAGTAACCAATTGGCATTTTCACCAAATACTGTTACCAATCGGGCAGTTTGCTAACTTTTGATTCAGTGATCAAAAAGAATGAAATATAGCTTATTGGAATCATCTCAGCAAGACGAATCTAATGGTAGTAAAATTGCATTTCTAGGATTAATACTTGATGAGAAATTAAATAAAATATAAAAATAAAAATATATCATTTATATTTTATTTAATTTTTTATTAACTATTAATCCTAAAAATGTGATTTTACTACTATTAGTTTCATCTTATTGAGACGATTCCAATGAACTATATTTCATCCTTTTCTGATCACTGGATCAAAAGTTAGCAAACTGCCTGATTGGTAACAGTATTTGATGAAAATGCTAATCAGTTACCAATTGGTCACTAATCAGCTATCTGATTGGTAACCAATTGGTGACTGATTGATGCCTGATTTTTCACTTTTCAACCTGTGTTATAAAAAAGAAAAAATTGTTAAAAAAACATTTTTTAAGAAATTTTAAAATATTATTACTTTAAAACTTTAGGATTTTAAAATTTAAGTTAAAACCAATTTCTTTACAAAAAAAAAAAAAAAATAAAAAATTTTTTTTAAAAAATTTTGAAATAATGAAATATAATAAAACTTCAAAATTTATTTTGAGATTCTGGTATTTAAATCAAAACTGATTTTTCAGGATCTTAAAATGGTAAGGTGATCTTTGAACTTTTTACTAATAACTATATACAAAGATTTTTTATAAGTTTAATATACAAAAATTTTAAAATAATTTAATAATTTTATATACTATTATATAATTGTATAAATATATTTATTAAATATACAAGCATTAGTACATATTTTTTTACACTAAATAAAGTTTTTTTTTTAACTATAATGTATATAGAAGTTTATTAAATAAGTATTTTTTTTTTTTTTTTTTTTTTTAATAATTAGCCATCCCACAAAAGAAAATAGAAAAACAAAACAAGAATAACTAATTACATACTTATATCTCCTTAATACAACATACCTTGCTCTAATTTACGAGCTTTAATTGCACACTAATTAATCACGTAGTCATGAGTAACACTGCGACCATGCCTCCCTCTTCTGATCTTATTACAATATGTCGTTAAAAGACATTTATCTCTAATACTATTCAAACCCGATGAAATTCTGCCCTTGTAATAGGTTCTCGTCTATTGAGTATTTCTTGCCAAGGAGCGACATTATCCTTTCCACTAATTTCCATTTCCTGAAGGTCTGTAATAATATTGTCTATCATAGCACTTTGACCAGCACTACTCGACTGTTCTGCTAACTTACCATCTTTTCTTTCAAAAGAAGCATCTTTTTTCTTTCTTAATTCAAAAAAATGTTCTTTGTTAAAAGAATGATTAATAAAAATATCATCTATTAACATTTTGTATCCAACTTCACTTGTAACTTGATCTACCAGAAACTCCATTTCTTTTTCTGATATGTATTGTTTCTTAAGGATATCATGTCTACGTTTCAACTTATGTTTGGAAATAAGTACCTTTGATCCAATTCCATTATTTGTGACCTGCCATTTATTTTTATTACTCTTGAGGCTGTTTTTAAACCTTTTTTATACCTTTCTTGTTCTTTCGACGTCTTAAAT